TAAACCGCTTAGAGAGGCCTGAAAGGCCTATGAAGCGGTATATAAGTCTAACTGCTATTGCTATTACCTGGGGTGACATGATAGCAGTCTTCCAATATCTGCCATGAAGAAGAGGGAGTCAACCTATTCTCCAAAGCACCTGAGGGCAGGATAAGAAACAACGGATGGAAACTAACCAAGGAGAGAAGCATCCGGGAACTAAGGAGAAAATTCCTGACAGTCGGAACAATGAATCGGTGGAACAGGAGTTGTCTCCAGAAATTATGGGTGCTTCAACCGTGCAGAAGAGATTGGACAACCCTTTGACTGAAATACTAGTAGACGGTCTCCTGCTTGAGCAGGGGGTTGGACTGGAAATTGGCCACACCCACCCAATCACATGACACCCCCTTAGCCACGCCCACTCAGCCAGTCCAGCCCCCCCCCCCCAACAGTGTGAGGGACCATGAATCAGCCCCCTGTTCAAGAGATTTGAGGACCCCTGCCTTGGGTGATAACAGAGTGTGCAATGAGAAACTCTCTCCTTCTAGGAAAAGGTGAGAAGCAGACGGCGTGAACTTAAATCAGGAGTCCCCAAACTTGGCCACTTTAAGACTTGTGGACTTCAACTCCCAGAATTCTCCACAAGTCTTAAAGTGGCCAAGTTTGAAGACCTCTGGCTTAAGGGGACTCCAGAGGATGGGAGAGGACAGGAAGGCCTGGAGGAACGTTGTCCATGGGGGTCGCGATGGGTGGGACACGACTTTGCAACTAACAACAACAAAATGTCGTGATCTTGCCTTCTGATCTCGTGATCCATTGTTTTAATGCTGTGGGCACCTGAAAGGTTTCTCCTCAGTCCCCAGAGAACCAGTGCTGCATTGCTTGAAAGCCATGCCTATTTTTAACCGAAAGAAAACACACTTCAAGAGTTGACTCTCAAGGGTTGAATTCCCCATCCCATGTATTAGGTTACACTCCCAGGGTGAAGACTCGAGGCAGGATGGGAGTAAGCATTACATCATCATCTTCTTCATCATCGCTGCTGCCGTCACCCCCCTTGGCCTCCAGGGATGACTGGGAGCATGGTAGAAACCAACTGATGTCACCAAACAAGCAGGTGCATTTTGTCAACTCCACATGAGGGGCAGGATGGAGCCAAGGTAGCACGAAAAACCTATTAGAAGCTGCGTGTACCTCGCTTGCTTCTGGTTCCCCCACACGGGGAGCTTCGGGGAGAACCTGTGGAGCCAGTGGGTTGGGATTTGAGCCCTTCTGCTCTAGAAATGCTCCAGAAACGTGTGGCTGTGTACATACTAAGGACAACTTAGCATTATGCTGGGGATTTCCACATAGATCATGAATCTGAAATAAGAGCTGGCTTTATAGAAAGCTTATGGAACAATAAAGGCTGGAAGATGTTCTAGGACGCCAGAGAGCAGCTTTGATTTCAACCCAGCATTCTGGAGAAGCTTCTTTGCTCCTTCCTTCCACCCTTCCTTCTTTTCTTCTTGTTCTTCTCCCCCTCCTCCTCCTCCGCCTTTCTCCTTTTCTCCTCTTCCTCGTCCTTTCTCCTTCTTTTCTTCTCCTTCTTTTTTTTCTTCTTATTCTCCTCTTCCTCCTTTCTCCTTCTTTTCTCCTTCTCCCTTTCTTCTCTCCTCCTTTTCTTCTTGTTCTTTCTCCTTTTCTCCTCCTTTACTCCTCCTCCTTTCTCCTTCTCTCCCCCCCCCCCAAAAATGGCCAGACTGTCTGCCAACTCTGTGTACATGTATTCTCTCTCTCTCTCTTTTTTTGTTCTAAAAAAATCTTGGCAAGTCCATCGTTGTATACGCAGTTTCTGTTTCTCTCCCTGGAACAGAACAAAGCTTTCAACAGGCAGATCTCCAGAACTTCTGACAGGAAACGGTTTTAAAAGGAGAAGTTGGAATTTGGACAATGTGTCGCGAAGCAGAGGGACAAAATATTTTCCAGTGCCAGAGAGTCTTCCTAGTTTGAATGCCACCGATTTGTTTATGTATTTATGTATTTATTAAGCCCTGAGTGTGTCCCTTGGCCTCTCAGCTACAACTTGGTATGTCCCAAGAACACGGGAGGAGGAAAACTTCTCTTGGCATGGAGGGAAAGGAACGTTCTAAGGTGAATTGCCGCTGGTGCTTTGATCTTCAGGGACAGCCAGGAGAATGGGATCATCCTTATTTATATTCCTTTCCTTTCCCGAGCATGGCAGTCGAGCTGAGATGAATAATGCCTTATATTGCATCATTGGACTCTGTTGTTTTTCGATCTTAGCTTAATTGTCACAGGGGGAAGAATTTCCAATCGTTACAACAAATGAAGGAGGATTGCATAACCATTCCGGTCCCTGGCACCGTCTCCGAGAACTTCTACCCTTCAGTTGTAAATAAAGTTTGGGCTGGTGGTAATGAAGTTTGTAGGAGAATTTTCCTGTGATGCCCATGAATTCTGACGATTATATAAATTAAGCTTCAGAACTGCCCTCCAAAAGCTGCGCCTAAGTTTGTGTGGTGCGCTTATGGGTTGTTGGAGAACCTTCTTCTCATGCCTGTGGGCTCCTGAAGACCATAATAACTAGGCTTCAAAATGTGCTCTCTGAAAGCTACACCTAACATGCTTTGTGACCCTTGGCCTGCAACCCGTCAATCTTCTACAGTAGTTAAAATATGAAGAAGCTGAACAAGCAACTCATCTGAAACCACAACATAATATTGAAGAACGCATCTAAAAATTCCCATGAGACCAAATACCAGCAAAGAAGTCCATAGTTTTGGTGAGGGGTAGAAGCACCAAAGAATGGATCGCTACTTCCTTTCATTCTGAAGTATTGGAAGAGACTTCCTGACAGAATTCAAAAGAATATTGAATTGTACTTAACATGACATCCTCTGGTTTCTTCCTACCAGCAATGCTCCAATGAAGTGAATCCAGGAGCTACCACAGCTTTCATCATAGTCCTCTCACAATTCAATCACTGTACCATAATGACAGACTTGTGTGACTGTATCTCCCCTATCAGGTGACCTTGGGGATCATTGCTTGTGAGGCAAGAGGAAACTGAACCTATTTAGGATGACCTACCCAACAGCATCTCGAGGAGAAAGTCCATACATAGCTAGACTCCATCCCTTAGTGAAGGAGACTGGTGGAAATCCCCAAAATCTCTGTGCGTCCACTTCTTCTAGCTACTCTCCTTCCAATTTCAACCATCTAGCTTTCAAGCCAGCAGAGGCAAAAGAGCTTCTTCAGCATCTGACTGGATGGTGGAGAATGGAAGGATTGATACTCCTTGCAGACAGCTGGTCATTTGCATCCTTTTAGGGGGTCATTGAGGCCACTTGGAGGTTCACCTGTGTCCTCAGGGTCACCTGAGTGGTGCAAATGGTTCCTGTAGTCTGCAATTTTTCCTCTGGAAATCTATTCCTCCTCCCACCCCATTCCAAGGGTCTTCATCCCAAATTCTATAGCTAAAAGTGTGTAGGGATTCTCCGTCATCCAGATCACGGTTGTCTCCTGCTTTTTTTCAGGAGGCAACTGGACTTTCTTGTTTTTTTCTTTTGAAGACGTCTCACTTCTCATCCAAGAAGCTTCTTCAGCTCTGACCGGATAGAGACCCTGAAGACACAGATAAACCCCCAAGTGGCCTCAACGACCCTGTAAAAGGATGCAAATGACCAGCTGTCTGCAAGGAATATTAATCCTTCCCCTCCCCACCATCTTGTCAGATGCTGAAGAAGCTTCTTGGAGAGAAGTGAGGTGTCTTCAAAGAAAAGCCAGAAAGTCCAGTTGCCTCTTGAAAAACGCACCTCGGTTTTTACCTCCAAAGTCACAGTGCCTGGATTCATAAGCGATGCCTTTGGGTAACAGTGATCTGCTCCCATTGGTGATGACTCTCTTTCTGGACCACAAATGAAGACTTGCTCTTCACAAATATCAACACATTAATTTCTTCTTCT